ATATATATATATATATATATATATATATATATATATATATAATATAAAAAGATATATATATATATGAAGCAAAAAGTTACGTAAATACAAATTGCATAATCGACTACGTAGAACATAATTTCAGTTCTCTCAGAGCTCTCTGTACTTTCGAGAGTATGTGTGGGAACATGTCGCGTGTATGTATCCCGAACGTCAGATTCAACAAACAAAAGCATTTATCTTAACGGTGGCGATTACGACGCTTGCTTACCGCTATATGTTACATTTTAAAGCGCCTCGGACAATTGCCGATGGCGATACTTGTCCTTTCCTCATTGTGTCGGACAACGGTAACAAATAAGGCTGCGACACAAAGCGATGTAAAGGGCACAAAGGACGTCAAAGCGGGGCTCGCTCGTGCGCCTACCTGTCGAAGCGGTTAGCGGCGACGGGCCAAGGAGCCCTCAGCCCGGCACGGCGACGCTTTTTCTCGGCTCTCTCGACGAGAGCCGACGCTTCCTCCGACCGTCCTTACGCGATGTCACTGACCCGAGTCCGTATCTCGATGCACAAGAATAAGGAGGAGAAGGAGGCGAAGGAATGGAAGGAGAAAGAGGAGGAAGAGGAGGAGGAGGCGGCACGAGATTCCATCGTCGTAGTCATCGTTTGTCGTCACCTAGGGCTAACCGCCGCTTTGGCCGCCACCGCCGTCGACGAAGACGCAAGATGACGACGGTTAAGGTCGCAACGTCCGGTGGTGGTGGTGGCGGCAGTCGAAAAGGAGGACGCAATAGGCGTCGTTGCACCGGTGCAACATGCAACGACAGCCAGGCCAGGCCAGGCCCGGCCCGGCCCGACTCGCCACGACGTTGGTACGCTGGTACGGCGCGGCGCGGAGCGGCGCGGCGCTTCTGAAGTGGGGAGAGAAGACCTTGAGCCGCGTCACGTGACCCCGAAGGTGCATAAAAGCCGGGTAGGGCGGTCGCGGAGGGCCTTGAACTTACCGCCGACGTCGACGAAGCCGGCGTCGTAACTATCGTATCGCGCGCACACGCTCGCCTTCCAGAGTAGTAGAAGAGACGACGACTCGGGGATAGAGCGACACACTCGGCGTGTGCGTACAATCTTCTATCGCTTCTTTTCTTTCCGATTTACGTTCGTTCAAATAAGATGAGAGAGAGAGAGAGAGAGAGAGAGAGGGGGGGGGGGAGAAAAGAATGAGAGAGGAGCGTGTCCCTCTCTTTCTCGTACGCTCGCACTCGCTTGGCATGTACGCTCGTTTCCGAAAACGTAGACCGGTTCTCTGCGCGCCAGTATTGCGACCTGCACTCGCACCCGTGAGGAGCTACCTGCCGCCGCTACGCCTGCGAGAACAGCGGCGCGGGGAGGCGCGGGTGTCAGGACGACACTCCACAGTGTGGACGCGACGAGGAGAGACCGTACACACCGGTCCTCCGATATGCTCGACCGCGCTCCGACTTCGCTCCGTCCCGCTCGTAACTATAACGTTGTTACGTTATTTCTCGAGGCACCGTCGCCGGTGCGTTTCGTTTGAACCTCGCGATAACTAGCTCAGCAAGACCGCAGAGAGTACGGTTACCGCGTTACTTTGGTGCCGCGTAAGCTCCTGTATATGAACCATAGATATGAACAAGATACCCGACTGCGATACCTCGCTGCGTCACGATGCGTAAAATAAGAGTAGCGTTATAGAACGATAACTACGTTTCCTGTTAACTCGTTCTACCTTCTACGACGGAAATGAAAGGAAATGTATAAAGGTTGTCGATTCAACCTCTTGAAGGATACTGGGTACATATGTGTACGCTGTGTGCAGTCAGCAAAAGATTGCAACGTTTTTTCTTTTTTTTTTTTTTCAATTGGTTTCGGAATGCAACCTACTCGTCGAACGATTGGTTCTTACTTATGAATCCAAATAAGAACCAATCGCTCGGTAAACCGGCTGCATTCTGAAACCCGTCGAAAAGAAAGTATTGCAACCTTTTAATCGCTGACTGTACGTTTAGTTTTATCTGACGTTTGAATGTTTAGCGAAGTACTGTATGGTACTACTGCGAGCAAATATTCTTTAAACAATAATAAAAATGTTTTTAATCACGTAGCAGATACTCCTTAGTTTCATATTTATTTTAGCATAGTTTTAATGTAGCATACTTTAAATAAATACGTTTGAGACATGAAATAAAATAATTTTTTCTGATCCTCAAAAATTCGTCCCTCAAGAGGGTAAAACTAAAAAAAAGTTAAAGCAGAGCAAAATAAAAAGATATGCTACATTAAGAGTGATATCGAAGAATTAAAATTCTTCTATTTGTCTATCTTTACAAAGAGTGCAAATAATTTTCTCGTCGCTTATGTGATAAGAATTGACAAATCGAAATGTCTTTCATATTAATTTCGAATAATGTCTTTAAAGGATTTTAAATAAAAATAAAACCGAAAAATTTTTAATAAATTCAAAAGTTCCAAATTCCGAATAAAAGCTTAAATTTAAAAAAATCCAGAATACAGGTAAATATTGATTAAATTAAATCGATTTCTGAACTTTCTAAATCGAACCCCCTACTATCATGAATTTATGCACTGTAGAATATCTTATATGTATGAGTAAAGTCGCAAAACAGCGAGAACTGAATTATTTCTTTCGAGGACATGTCAATTACAAGGTGTTAATCGTTAATATACAGTACTTATACTTGCGAGTTACATGTAGATCTTTATATATACGCAGCGTGTGTGCACCAGTTGCGTAAATTATTTTAATTATCCGAGCAGTTTACGCTTCAGAGCGTGCGATCTAAATGAAACGATTTTACAATACGTCCAGTTTGTAAAGGGATAGCAAATTTACTAGATCTAGTCCCTAAAATTTTTGGAAAGTGGAGTCACGCTCTTCAAAATTGACAATTGAGTCACTCTTTTTCAACAACTGGCTCATTCTTCGTCACTCTTTAGAATCAGATTTCTGACTCTAAATATTTTACAGAGTAAGCGATACGTTTCAAATCAAACGATTGATCGCGATCGTCGAAGATTCGCGGTACCGACGCACGTGTTGATCTTTGTTTTTTTTTTTTTTTAATGGATCTTCTTATATGTTTGTGTCGCGTGATCGACTGAATACTCCCTATATCACGCACGCATTCGCACTATATGCGGGCGTGAGTGAACGCATGTGTTTCCGCGCGAAGGTCGTTCGGCGGTTCCGCGGGACCGGAAGTGGGCCGGCCTTGCGGCACGGCCATCGGCGTAACCTTGCAGACGAGAGAGACGGAGAGAAAGAGATAGAGACTTGACACTGTGTGTCAGCGCTCGCGAAATCGTGTGACTAGATTTTTGGCGAGCAATCATACGAGAAATCTAGCGATTCAATATACCTGCTTGTTTCCGAGCCGAGTAGTAGTTAAAGGAGTTTTTGCATTCTTGCGAAACGTACGTTATTGCGTAAGCCCGTGAATTAGAAAGTATATCTAAGAATTTTATAATCGGACTTTGACAAAAATTTTCACTTAAGATTTTGCATTTCAAGTTTATATTAAAAAACGGATTCGATTCGAACAAAACGGAGAATCATTTAACATAAGTCAAATGTGCCGAGTGAGTTTAATGTTAAGCTTAGAAATGAGCAATTATATAATACTGCCATCAGAAACCACGCGTTGTAAAGACTTAATTCTTCTTATCTAAAATATGTACAAGTCCAATTTTATTTTTCACAGCATTATAATACGACCTTGAAGATATAATTAAATAAAAAAACAATTATCAAAATTGCACTGTTCGTTTTATAATTTTACCATAAATTATGTGTTTTAAGATTATATCATTACACACACTAAACTTTCTGACAGTAGTGTATATTAAAATGATAAGAGATGCAACGTAGTTTCTTCCTAATTAATTATATTAATTATACTTAATATTTTTTGCATCAGATTCATGATTGGGAGATGCAATTAATAGTGGAGATTAATATAAAATTACTCGTTTGAAGTTTCTTCTTCAATATAAAAGATACTGCGAATCAAATGTTAGCGTAATAATAGAAATTTGCATAAACACATAAGAATTGTGTTCGTTTTTCTGTTTTAGTGGTACGAAGCGAGCGTGAAATCGGCACAACAATACGTAGTAGTACCCGATAATTCGTAGAGGTGACGACAAGAGAGCCCGCTGTAAGGATGCTGTACACTTTCGTGAGGATCGAGAGGCCACGAGTCGTATCACGAGCTTGCAGCAGCGTAACCAGCTGAGAATGTCAGAGCAAAACGGGCCCAGCGAGGGCCCAGGGCCAGGGCCCGGTTCGGATTCCACGAGCTGGTGGCCAAGTACGCAGACTTGGAAGTCGTCAGCAGCCGCCTCGTCGTCGACTTCGTCGACTCCCACTTCAGCGTCCGTCTCTGTCTCCTGCTCTGCGTCCAGCTCGTCGACGAGCTCCTCCACCTCGATCAACTCGTCCGCGACCTGTTGTCCCTCGTCGTGTATCGGCGTGTCCTGCACGATGAGTCCAAGCCGTTCCACGGAAACGGGGAAAAATGTATCCGTCACTACTATTAACGTACCGCCCAATCAAGAAATGCATGATGGTATTATCTCTTCACTCTTTATAAGACTTCTTTAATATGATAATCGGCAAAGTGATTATTTGAAATAATAACATAATATCTTTCTAATAGATACATGTACTGTTCAAATATTAACTAAGAACTCTCTAATTTGGTACTAAATTTTTTTGGACATGTTCCTGCGTGATAGTATTACCCTCATCTCTTTATAAGAATTCTTTAATGTGGTAAAGTGGATATTCGAAATATTCTTTTTCTAATATATGTAAGAACTATTCAGATATTCAACGAAAGATTCTCTGATTTATTACTAAAATTTTTTGGACACGTTCTAATACAAAAGTAATTTTTATTAATTTTAATAATTGCGATGAATGTATGTATTAATTAAAAAAATATATTATGTACAAATTTTTCTATTAATATCGAAGCTAAATCGTCAGAAAACTTTATCATAAACTTCATAAGCATCTTTTTTTCAAAGTGATAAAATTTGATTTACACACGTAATGCAATTATGATTTTAGCTAAAGGAGTATGTAAATATCTCGGGGGGCAAAACGGCGTGACAGTATCGGTGGTATCGACCTCGATTCTGGGATGTGGAAACGCGAATGCCGTCCCGACAAGCGGAATCTGCACGAATACGGGGTCGCATAGTATCGGTATCGGAATTGGTGGCATCCTCGCTGCGAACGCAGCCGATATCGATGATCCTGAGGACAGCGACGGCGAGATCAGTAAGATTGACTTTCGAGGTGTCAATCTACGTTCGAAGAAGAAACGCGACGTATCGGGTAATCAGAATGGCGACAAGATCGATGACGGAGAAGCAAACGGCGACGGCGGGGGTTGCTGCGATGATAATTCACAACAGCAACCTGAGAGGCCCATGTCATGGGAGGGTGAATTATCGGATCAAGAAATGTCTTCCAATACAATTACTAATCAGGTTAGACTTACTGAATTGTATTATTACAAAAATTTCATCGAGTTTGACCGATAATACATTGATTTAAAGTAGAAGTGAAAGGGAAGTATATGACGCTTACAGAGAAACAGACTGTTACAAATTTCAAACTCATATTCATATAAATTTTTGAAGAATATATAAAGAATATAATTTTTTATTTATGCAAAAGCGTCAAATATAAATTTATATTCTTTTAAACGAATTTCATTTTATTATTAATTGAAAGATTACTTGGCAATGTTACATATAAGTGAAAATGGAAAGTTACTAACTGCTTAATTGCAATTGAATTTAGGACCACAATGAGGAAACGTCTATGGAGGGGGTTCAAGTATGTAGTACGAGTCCTGGGCCTATGGAACAGAAGTTTCCTATTAAGTCAGAGCCGGATTTTCGATCTAGTCCAGGTTTCACAATAGGATCCTTTCACGATGGTGGATTGCCCATGACACACAATCTACAATTGCAACAACAGCAACAGCAACAACGTGGTATCGAAAACATCGAACAAACTCAACAGAGCGACCTACCACTTCTTGTAGGCAAGCTTCTCGGTGGATACAACAATTCAACACCTAATCATAGCCCCGTCCTCAATCCGCGACATCATTTAACTAAACACAGTCATACTAGATCGCAGGTGAGTAATAATAAGATATATTTTTAGCAAAGTTTAGCTAAAAATCGTACTAATACGTCAATTCATTAAATTGTTATACATGTTTAGTTGTACATACGCATATACATTTTAATCCCCGCGGACTCTCGTAGGTGCCGTCACCAGATTCCGCCATTCATTCTGCCTATAGCGTCTTCAGTTCACCGACACAGAGTCCTCATGCAGCACGACACTCCGCCCTAGGAGCGGGTAGTCCGATACCCTCCTCGTCGTTGTCCCTCTCTCGACACAGCTTCAACAACTCGACTTCTTCGTTATCTCTATCGTTGTCGCATTCACTTTCGAGGAACAATTCTGACGCTTCCAGTAGCTGCTACAGCTACGGTTCGCTTAGCCCGCCTACGCATTCACCCGTCCAGCAGCCGAGACATCCGCATTCACACTCACAACATCATCAGCATCAAGTGGCGCAAGGTAGTCCGCTGCATCTACCAGCCTCCTCCGCAGTTGCCGCACATCATTACTCGTCCTCTTCCGTACCAGGTTCGGAATTGTCGCCGGACGGCCATCCAGTTGCGGAAGATCAGGAAGACTGTAGGTTACCCTCGGCGCCATCGGGTATCTCCACCAGGCAACAATTAATTAACAGTCCCTGCCCGATTTGCGGTGACAAGATAAGCGGCTTCCATTATGGCATCTTCTCGTGTGAATCGTGCAAGGGATTTTTCAAGCGCACCGTCCAGAATCGTAAGAACTATGTGTGCCTTAGAGGCGCAGGTTGTCCGGTCACCGTGGCCACGAGGAAAAAGTGCCCAGCCTGCCGCTTCGACAAGTGCCTCAATATGGGTATGAAGCTCGAGGCGATCAGGGAGGATCGTACCAGAGGTGGTAGAAGCACTTATCAGTGTACCTATACTCTGCCAAATCTCGTTGGTAGTCCTGCTGGTATGACCAGTGAAAAACTGACGACGGCAGGCAATTGCAGCCCGGCACCGGCCGGTAGCGAGCATCATTATTCTGTTAGATATCATTCAAATCATTCTTACAAGATGCAAGTAGTACCTCAACTTTTGCAAGACATCATGGACGTAGAACATCTTTGGCATTATAACGATAACGATCGGATAAGCGGTAGTGGAGGAATACTTGGAAGTGTAAGGAATACCGGTAGTGACAGTCTGCTGCTCAGTGGATCCGGAAGTGGTCCAGCGCTCAGCGGCACTGGAACTGCGACCAGCATTGGCGTCGGAAACAACGGAGGTGCAGTGGAATGTTCGTCGAATGACTCTAGCAATGTCGATACTAGTAGCAGAAGAGGAGAAACGGCGAGCCCCACTGATTCGATCTTAACGGGGGCGTCCGATCAACATTCCACAAATGGCAATACCACTAATAATAGTAATTCTCAAATTGCCAGTAATTCCAACGGTAATTCAGCGCAGCATCCAGACTTTCTATCTAATCTGTGCAACATCGCGGATCATCGGCTCTACAAGATCGTCAAGTGGTGCAAAAGTTTGCCATTATTTAAAAATATTTCAATCGATGATCAAATCTGTTTGTTGATTAACTCTTGGTGCGAGCTACTACTTTTCTCCTGCTGTTTTCGCAGCATGAGCACTCCCGGTGAGATAAGAGTGTCTCTCGGCAAGTCGATTACTTTAGAACAGGCAAGACAGCTTGGTTTAGCGACTTGCATCGAGAGGATGCTCACTTTTACCAACAATCTGCGAAGACTGAGAGTAGACCAATACGAATATGTTGCAATGAAGGTAATTGTTTCTCCTTTTAATTAATTAAAATTTTTTATTTTCAATACATATTTAGCATTTAATACAACTGTTTGTATATTCGCATCGAAATTGAAAATAACTTTTGTATCAGATGAATAATAATTTAAATAATTGTATCAAGTACAGTGTTGCGAATGAGGATACAAATTTAATTCAATTGATTTTTCTTTATTTATAACGACACACTGAGGATGAATTTTATTATCAATTCATTTTTTCATATTTGTTTCTTGGAAATTAAAAGGTGATCGTGCTGTTAACGTCCGATACAAGCGAATTAAAAGAGCCTGAAAAGGTCAGAGCTTCTCAAGAAAAGGCACTTCAAGCACTCCAGCAATATACAATCGCGAGGTACCCAGAAATGCCTGCCAAATTTGGTGAATTATTGTTGAGAATTCCAGATCTGCAAAGAACATGTCAAGCAGGAAAAGAATTGCTCAGTGCAAAACGTGCCGAGGGAGAAGGCAGCTCGTTTAACCTTTTAATGGAATTGTTGAGAGGAGATCACTGAATTGTCAGCACAGTGAGCTATGCCGTAAGTAATAGTTTAGTAATAAATGATCTATTATTTTTTTGTTGTTGTAATAAGAAAAACTATTTTTAATAATTATTGTGTAATGATTATAATCTGTTTTCTTTTCAGATTCCACGCTTATAGGGTCCATAAGCTTAGGGAATCGGATATTAATAGATAATCGCAGAATAAGAAAGATTAGGAAAAAAACAAACGGCAGATGTAAGGTCTCTAGTGACATTAGTACTTGGTGAGGGGACTGTATTCTTTGTAATTAGGATGCATTAACCTAACAAAAGGTGAAAAGAATTTTTCTATTTTACGTCGGAATGCTTCCACATACAGGTTGTGCATGTTCGCATTCCTGTTTTGAAACAAACGAATTTTGAAGCGGCCTACAGTGTATGTCGGATTTGTACTTCCGCATACAGGTAGATGCTAATGAGACTGAAAGTTTAATTGACGGAGACACACAGAGCATTTACTTTTACAATGATAAGCGTTGTATAAATACGGAGATGGTATCAAATAGCATTAAAATGCTATATTCTATTAGATTGATGTAATCTATTCGAGCGCGAACTTTATATCCTGGTGAAAATTTTTCTTCGTATATTTAATAGAATTTTTCGGATAATTCTTTACTTTTATGTAAAGTTCAGAATTTTTTAGAATTTCTGTATAATTTTATAACTTTTTAGCGAATTTCTCAGATTTTTTATACTCAGAATACTTTTCAGATAGAGTACTGAGAGAATCTTTTTATGCAATAAATTAAAATGTCAAGGTTTTTTAAAAAACGAGCAAATGTAGTTAACTAATAAAATTCGTCTTTTTATGTCTTTTTTAGAATTTTTTAATGTGTGTTCTAAGATGTCTAATTCCATAATTTCTGAAAAAAAATTGATAAAATCTGAAAAAAGTTAAGATTTTTTTTTCAGAACTTTTTATATAACCCAAAAATATGACAAATTTTTAAAATATTCTAAGATGTTATGAGAATTTTTTCCACCAGGATAGTAGTGAATGCAGATCTATAAACATAGTTGATCTTTAATTAACGATTATAATAGAACAACCAGTATTGCGTATCGTTCTGCGCTTACTTAAGAACAGAGCATAGCCATGCCTTATCTATCCCGGTTATGAAAGTGTACTTAAAACTTAATACATCAATCGACCAATTGTCTACTTATAGAGCAGTTAATCATGGAATAATTAGTTAATATGTTTAATTAGTATATATCGTCCACACAGAATATGTGGCTTTTATCGGTCACACAAAATAAATTTTTTATTCTCTTTATATGTTTTAACAGCTTGTCAACAAACGGAAAAATGAGAATTTCAGTTGGCATAAGTATCACAGAAATTTCTGAAGTAACGTCAGCAATACATATATAGCTGCTATCTTTTCTCTGTAAATATATTTTTTTAAAGAAGGATTGGCTAATACTGCTTTTCCGTTTTTATTTGTAGAAAGGATATTATTTTTATGTATTAGCGAATCATAAAGAAAAAGGCAAATCGGATTATATGTTATGTATACATGTTCATATATATATTATATATACATATATTTATATTATATATTGTTTTGCATATATCTTCTTGATCATAATATAATTTTGAGAATTTATTGATTTGCGTTTCTTTCAATATCAATGACAAATATATATTAAAGCTCCCGTTTTCTCATTGTAACCATATGGAATTATGACGTCAAGCAAAAAGCGAATTTTTTCCTTGTAAAAAAAATATACATTAAAATAAGTGAACTGTTTGCATGCTATATACGTTTAACAATATCAAAATTATAAATATCAAATAATCTTTTTAAATAGGATTGTACCAGATTATAAAATTATTGGATATCGGATAGACGATATCCGATTGGGGATATCCGTAGAGCAATTATCCGGCCGAATATTTTTCCGGATATCCAGTACAAATTCCCCAAAATTAAAAAAAAATAAAGCAAGAGAAAAATAGCGACAATAATTTTCTTTATTTTCTCAACGTGAAAAGAGGAAAAATGAATTATGCAAAAAGTTCAGCTAAAAAGAATAAAATTCTGCATCAATAACGCAAACTTTTAATATAAAATTTCAGCTGTATGTATTTATTGTCAGATACTAATGATGTCCGGCTATCTAACTGAATAGTATCGAGTAATACCGAATATTTTTTAAATATCTGATGCAACCCTATTTTTAAAGAAATAAATAATTTCGGAAATTAATAAATAGTAGTTATAAATTTTTATTATAACATACATTTTTATAAAAATGTAGCGTACATATATAGTACAATTTGAATTATATTACGTATTTATCAATACAGAATAATAAAAAACGGAATCTTTTATTCACATTCAATAACAAGAATCGATATAAATTACATTATGTTGTTATTGAACGTGAATAATATATCTAAAAAAAATTAATTGATTTATGCAAAAAATTACTTGCATAATGAAGAAAAAATTCACTCTATTTTGATATCATAATATAATATAGGTGTAATGAGAAAATAGTAACTTTAGAAATTGTCAAATTTTATACTAGCGAAAAAATGCTTATTGATATTGTAAAAAATTGTAAAGGTATAAAATTATTAAAATTAGTATATTTGCCAATCACGCAATTATTATTTTTGTTACAACATTCTCGAGTATGATACAGGCTATCAATCAATACTAATATTTGAGACGAAATATGACTTGAAATTTATATATACACTGGTTGTATACGTATACGTAGACAAATAAAAAAATGGACGATTAGCCATTGATAAATTTTTATTTGTCTCTAAATTTTACTAAATTTATATTTACAATATAGTACTGAAATTATTTTTCAATCGTTTTTCTTGAGCGTGGGACAAAAAATGTCTTCTAGAACAGGAAAATATTAAGAATATGGTGTATTGATGATGAATCAGCATGATTCTTTTACTAAGTCAAGGAACGAAAATATTTATTTTTGAAAGATATGCATCATAAATGTTGTCGCTTGTGAAAGATGCAGCTATAAGCTTGCGTGCGAAACAAACGAACTGATCTCTGTTGTTGGTACTTTAATGAGACTGTCGTATTAGCATATTATTCTTTGTACAATTGCTTAGTCTTTTTATTTGTGTCTACGTTCTACGAAAAAGCATGTAAAGAGCACTTAAAAAAATACTAATTCGCGCAATACTTAATATAACGATAATTTATAAGAATTGTCTTCCCACATTTCTATCAATTCTAATAGAAAGTAACTTATAGCCCTCTCATAATGTATGTATATGCGCACACATATCATTCGCGTAACTACTGAATGATTTTCTTCTTAAAAGTTCATTGTAAACATTTGTAACATTGAAATCGTTGATAATAATGTGTATATTTCATCATGCACAATAATAGTGATAACGTATCAGAAAATATTAGCCAGTATTTTGGACGATTCTTTGGATGGTATTGAATGAATACTGAATTTGTATTAAAATATTTCAAATCAGATGCTTAGTTTGATTATACTTTCGTAGATGCAACGAAAGTAACGCTGTAAATATAAAGAGAAAGAATCATATTTTGTTGTGACGAGTGTGTGTGAGTGTGTAAATGTATATGTGTGTGCATGCAGAACGTGTAAAGAAAAAAGAGAACGGGGGAAAAGAAAAAGAGTGAAAGAAAATAAGGTAGAATGTATGCGAGTATAGTATACTTGTAATAAAGCACATAAAAGTCGATTTAAGCGAAATAATATGAAAGTAGAATTACCAGAAGATAAATATTTGCCTGTTAAAAAATGACTATTCTATGTTTATGTTTGATAAAACCTATTTCTATATACTTGAATGAGATACTTCTGCTGTAGCTCAGTGATAATTGTCTTTATTTGTACGCGCGTATGTATGTGTGCGTGCGCGCGCGCGCGCGTGTGTGTGTGTGAGAGAGAGAGAGAGACACGCGATGAAAGAATTTGCTTAATTTTTCGTGTAAGAGAGCAGTCTAGTTATAGAAACACACTTAACCGACACAATTCAGTTCTATCCTTTTTTTTAAATCGTCGAAAGCAAAGAGCTACTCTATGGATAGTCTTCCGTTTTATCCAGTAGTATGTTACGATATCATCGCGAATTACGATGTTCGCGTTTGTTATAACACATTGCAAAGATTAGACAAAAAAGTCTTTTTGCCAATCATGACAATATTAGAAGGAAGTTATATAAGATCGGATTGTATGATATATGAAGAGCTTAAATACAACAGACTGCACACAATGACAATTATAATAGATATAAATATATACAGGATGTCTACAGAATAATAGGTCAGTATCCTGATTCTGTAATTCTTATATCTACTCTACAATATCGCAAGCCATAAGAAAAATAAATTGATCAATCACAGTCGAATATGAAGAAAATAATCGACTATAATTAATTTATTTTTTCCAAATTCTTTACGAACATTTTGCGATCCTAGTAAAATATTAATATTATTAACTACAGTACGATATGTTGTCGTTACGCAGCTCTTTTATCATGTATAATATCTATGTAACACAACCATACCGATACTGTCGTTAAGAGTTACAGAATTGGAGTACTGGTCTTTATAATGTTATTAATGTTACTTTGTAATGTAATTCTGATTTTTAAACACTTCTCGATCTATTTCATTTAACATTTTAAATCTTTATAAATTAATTTCTTAACTAAGAATTTCTTAATTATTAAAAATTAATAATTGCAAAAAACGTAAAATAGTGCAGGACTTTCCTATTCAATTTAATCCGCTTTACAAAGCAGTGTTAACCTATTATTAGACATCCTGTATATACACATATTTACATTCATATATATGTTATATAAATTATATAAATATTTATATTTATATAAATTATGTAAATATATAAATATGAATATATATATATATGAATACGTATATATATATATATATGTATACATATATGTATATATATGAATACACGCGATCAATTGTGTGTAAGAAAGAAGTTTGTAAATGTAATAAAGGTAAAAGAAACACCGGACACAAGGGCCAAACAGCAGTGTAATATTAAATAAATCGTATCCTAGTATAGTGTTTCTTATTGACACACACACACACACACACACACACACACACACACACACACACACACACACACATATATATTATTGAATACAGCAAAAGAAAAATTGTATAGAGAGAAGATAGACAGAGTTTTATCCATCCATCATCAACTAGCTCAGCAGCCCCAAAAATTGCATATTTTTTACTTCGATATTGTAAAAACTTCGCGGCCGAACATTTGCACGTAAATATTAATTATCATACGCTAGACGATGATCTCAATTACGCGAAGCATGTTTGGCATTAATGATTTTAGATACTACTGATCTAGTTGAGTCTCGCAAGAGAGAAGGAAAAAAGAAACAGAAAAAAAAGACAGCGTCCGATTGTACGATATGTTACTGCTGAGAATATTTCGTTCCCGACTTAGGAGAGAATAGCTGCTATTCACGCAAATTAGAGAGTAGTTTTATACATACGACACGAATTATCAATACAAAATAAAAAGAAAACTTTTTAT